CTGGAGGTCCCACAAATTTAAGTGATGTACAGGCATCTCAGAAGCTTGGATTTGTAGCTGGTCCACACCAATGGATTATCATCGGTCTGTGCCCTTGGCCTTTCACAACAGGAGTGACCCCTTTCTGATGAAGAAAAAGATGGCAGCTTAAGGGTAGGGAAGGTTAGAGGAGTGAACTTTGGATCTTGCCAGAAGCAAGGCTGACCCACCTCTCTGCTTGTTGTAACTTTGATTTCTTTAGTCCCAATGAGACAGATACTAAAGACATTGTCCTTTTGTTTCTTCACTAACTGTAACACTTAGGACTGTTCAGCCGTTACCCCACGGCTTCCTGCCCTTGGCTGGGACAGAACATTGAGTTGTGCTGTCCTCTTGGTGATTAGGACCAACAACAGAGTTGAACGTCCAGGCTCTAAGGCCAAGTGTACGTGCCTGGCAGGCTGCTGTCCTGGGCAGGGCAGTGCGCTGGCCCTTGATTACTCTGCTGTGGAGGCGTCCGATCTGACTCCCCTTCTGCAGAATTCCCCCACTATTGTCTAACAGGCACGCCTCTTAACAAAGAGTCTTGTAGGGAAAAGTTTAGATATTTTGTGATCTTGTTTCTCACAGCAGTATGTTTTTCTTCCAGAAGTGTGCACCGTTTTGTGTAACTTGTTCATGAGCAACAGAAAATATCAGCGGTCTGTTCATTCCATCTTCTTCCCTCTCCAGGGAAGAATCATTATGTAGTGATGTCAGACAGTCCCCCCAGCCCACAAAGGGGTCTTTCTGGGGGTCCCATCATAGAAATTCTGCCTTTAGGGAGGCAGAAGACGCAGAGTCTTCTAGGAGGGCACTCTCAGAGGAAGAATCAGGAATTTGGCCTCTGGAATTTTCTCTTCCCAACGTGTGACATTATGGAAGCCAGTCTGGGCTTCTCATGTAGCTTATTACATCACGCATCCTCCTTAATGCCCATCACCCAGTTACCCCATCCCCCCACACACCTCCCCTCCAACAACCCTCGGTTTGTTTCCTAGAGTCTCTCATGGTTTGTCTCCCTGATTTCTTCCCATTCGGTTTTCCCTCCCTTCTCCTAGGATCCTCTGTGCTGTTTCTGATATTCCACATAGGAGTGAGACCATATAATTGTCTTTCTCTGATTGACTTATTTCGCTCAGCATGATACCCTCCAGTCCAAAACTAAAAACAGGAAGCTCTTTTAAAAAGAGAAAAGTCTCTATCAACTTTCTTTCCCCAGACTTCCCTTGACATCTCTGGACTCCCGAGCTATGTGACTTGGGGATTTGATCCTGTCTGGGTTTCAGTTGGCTTATGGGTTTAAAAAAAAAAGGGGGGGGGGAATCTTAGGGAAAGGGTCTCTTGGTCCTGCCCCTCCCCCATCCTGTAGAATCAGTGGGACCCCAAGCCTCCCCTCTGCCTTCACAGGGTCTGGGTCATCCACACTGAACCTGAAGGTCTTTGAGGCACCCTGTCCTCTCCACTGGACCTGAGGCTCCCTGGGGCTCTTTCTTTGGGGGTCTCAATGCCATTCTTGGGCTGCATGGGAGAAGGCAGCCGTCCCCAGAACTTCGGCCCAGCGCCTTGCTGCGTGAGCTCACAGTCCTTGGGCCCTTGACAAGTACCTCACCACGCTGGTCACACTTTCTGCCTCAGTTGAATGCAGTAAACGCATCCACCTGATGGAATTTGGGGAGCATTATCACCCCAGTTTCCAGGTGAGGAACCCCAGGGATCATAGAGTTTGGGTGGACTGCCCACGCAGAGGAGCCCAAAATGGGATTCGGACCACAGGCAAGCACTCCGCAGCTCCAAACCCCTGCTTCCAGGACCGGGCTTTCTGAGTTTTTTCCCTAGGGCAGAAGTGAGAGGCCTCGATTCAGCCGTGCTGCCCGGGGCCAGCTGCACTGAGATCAGGGAGCGGCAGGGTCGATGGGAAGCAGTGTGCTCTGAGTCCTAGCCGGCCAGATGCCCGCAGAGCTCACCCCCCCCCCCCCCCCCCGCCCCGGGAACCCGGGCCTCCCAAGGTGCTGACGGCGCGCCGATCCGGAGCCAGAAGGTCTGATTCTGCCGGCTCCTCACTGCAAACTTGGAACAATCAATCAGCCTTCTTGAGAGCCTTTTCCTTCGGCTTGTCAAACGGGAATAAGCACACACATCTCATGGCAGGAGGGGGGTGGTGTTGGGAGGGCCCCGAGCGGGATGGGTGCAAAGTGCTGGGGAGAGCACAGAACCTGCTGGGGTTGTGGTTATTGCTACGTTTCCCAAGGCTGGGCTCCGTGTGCTTAGTAAGACTCTGAGGACCGAGGGCTGTAGGCAGACTCTCCCTTCCCTATTCCCGGAAGATGCCTCCAGATCCTCGGGAAAGCCACACTTGTGTCCCGAGTGCGTTCTTCGGTTCTGCTAAGTGAGAGTGGGAATAAGACCACGCATGCCAGAGACCCAGGAGAGGGATGCCCCTCCACCCGGCATGCACTGACCGGGCAGCTTTATTTCCAGGCTGCGAATTAAGATAATCTAGAAGAACCATCGGGAGGCGGCTCAGAGAGTGGAAAGGCAGTTTTTCCCCTCAACAAATTTTGAATAGGTATACTTGAAAAATCACTGGGGCTTCTACGGCCCAAACAAACAGTCTCCGTTGAAAAGAGCCACATTCAGGTTTTTTTCTGTGTGTGCTTTTTAAATAAAATAAAAGTACAGACGGAGGAATGACAGCGAAGTTTTAAACTACCCTGATGTTAAAGAAAAAAAGACATCGATAGTTTTTTTTTAATCCATTGCACCTTTATTGTTTACTCTGTTCACTGTTCAGAATTTTCATACAGTCTTTCTAGAATCACAAAGAACCTGGTAGATAGCTCCCTCCCCCTGACATCCCGTTTTATTTCTAGCCAGTCTCCTCTGGTCCCTCGTCATTATTTGTATGATATTCTGTCAGTGTCCAAGGAGTTCGCAAGGGTTATTTATTTTTATGAAGGAGGGAGGAGGGAGGTGTGCAGAGCTGGCCCTTAGCAAAGCCATCGGGTTTGTGACCTGACCCTGAGGGCCCTTTCCTGCGCCTTCCCCTCCTGCGCATTTCCTCTCTTTCCAGCAGCCCAGCCGGCAGTCCTGGCTGGGCTGAAGAAATGATCAGATCAGGAGTTTCAGCCACATGATCTCTCTGAGCCCTCCCATCTTCTACAATACTGGGAAAAGACCCCTCCATCTCACAGGGTTACAGGGGAAATTCAATGACCTAAGGAATATAAAGTGCCTGGCACAGTGCCTGGCACACAATGTGCCCTAAATGCAGGTCTACTTCCTTCCGGTAGGGAAGAGAAGACACCTGATGAATGATGTCAGAGCCAGGCGCTCAGGGGCATTTGTTTTATAAAAGAACCTGGTCCCTTACAAGAGCACAAGAAATGACTCTCTAATGGTGGAATTTCAGATACCACAACAAGGGGAGAGAGAGGTCTGGCAGTAGAGACCTGCTGGGCATCATTTGAACCCAGCGAGGCTTCTTTACTGCTTCTTTTGTCCACGGACAAGTCTGGCACTGGCAAAAGGAATTGTGACCCTCTTTGTCACAGCCAGGCAAAGGCCCATCTCAGGGAGCCAGGAGAACAGGGCAAATTCATATATATCCACCCATCCCTACCAGGGAGGAAGTAGCTTCGTGTGTGTGTAAACTGGGAGCTTTAAGAAGCACAGCAATCTTTTGGGGGTGATCGTTCCGTCCCCTTCTTGTGCCCTTAAAAAGTCACCTGTCATAGGGGTGTCCTTGCAGCCTGAAACACCCAGATGAGCTCTCACGGTGGGGAGTGAGTCCACGAGCCATTTACACCCACCTACTTTGAAAAAGGTCCCAGGCAGCTAACTAAGGAATTATGTACCTGTGCTGGCCTCCGCCCCTCGTTCTCCCTACCTTGCACGACATGTGGCCATTAAAATAAAAATCTGATCAACGAATGGTCACAAGCATGAAATAATAATGCTGCCACGAAGAAGCTGAATATTCCGTCCTAGAGTTGATCTGTGAATACAGCTGCCCTCTCTCCTTCCAGGATAGTCTTTTTTACATTTCTTAGAAGCTGATCTATCTATCACTCAGCCCTTGTTCATGCAAAATTCTCAGTAAGGATATGGTGCAACTAAGGTCCTCATGCCCACGATCGTTTTAGATCTCCCATATAACAATAAAAAGCCGCTCAACGGACTATCTTAAAACATGCATTGGCCAGGACCATGGCTGGTATTATGGGAAAATGTCCTCCAGACCAAAAAGGGGGAGAGAGAGAGAGAGGGAGAAAGAGAGAAGGTAGAAGATTGAAGATGTTCAAAGCAGGACTAGAATGGCTATACCACAGAGAACACCCACAGCCTACGGGGCGAAGCAGATAAAACCAAAGAAGGCTCTAGGACTCCAGGAGCGCCTCTCCAAATATTTGGTTCATGCTAAAAAATAGAGCACATTTATTAAAAATATATATTTATAAACCTTGATATGAACAGATACACACGTCAAGCCAATGAAAAAAGAAAAATAAGTTATCTCCCCAGTATCAAATAGTTTGACACTTTTGATGTATGGGATGTGTGTCAAAGGGCTTCCCCTGGGGGTTTTTCGTCCTGAACGGCTCGTCGAGTGGAGGCCAAGCGCGTGTCCTGGGAGATGCACCCACGAGCCGTGCTGCCCTGTTCCTCTTTCCTGAGGCGTGAGATCCATCAGAGATCTGGGATCATGAGTTTCTGCACCCATCTGCTGACCGACGGCATCAAAAGCTGGTCTTCCGAGCGGTCTCTGGGGCCCCGGGCCAAAGACGCTGAGTTCCTTGTTGTGTGAATGAGTTTTGTTGGATTCATTGTGCTTTAGTGTCTGCTCCTATCAGCAGGATTGGTTTGTTTGTGTGACCCTTTTATAAAGTTCGAAGGTGCATTTGTTCGAGCAGCGTGTGTAGGTCAAGCCTGCTTGTTTGCACAGCATCCAATCATGGATCTGTCGACACACAGGACTCCCGTCTTTCGGCCAAGCACCCTCCGGGCCATTCACAGAGTGGTGTATATGTATACAAATATGATAACAATCAGGTTCAGAATGGTCCCGATAATCCCCAGCATGGCCAAGACACTCTCTTCCTTACTCTCTCTCTCCTGGCCTTCTCTGTCCTCCTCATTTCCACTCGTGATTACCATCTTGGTGACAAATGTCTTTATCTTCCGCCCCAGGCTAACCTGTAACGGGAAAGAGGCAGCACAAGAGATTATCAGTTCCTAGCATCCTCTCCATAGCAGTGCAGACCCGCCGCGGGAGGGGATTTCATGCCTGGGTACTAGAGCTTGTGTGGGAGCGTAAAATCCCCCACGGATCCAATCTTGGGACACACCGCTCTGGGCCGCGGAGGAAGAGCAGAGCGTGTGGCCTGTCGATTTCAAGGATGGCCTGACTGTCCTGACACTGGCAAGAAGAGATCAGCGGGGGGCTCCAGCTGGGGGGCCACCTACTCTTCTGAGCTTGTTCCCTTCCCGTTTCCTTGAAGCAGAAACAGAGGCCACTGCATAGCAGTCTGGCATCCGGGAATTTCCCACGCATTCACGTATGAGAACCCACCCAGGAAATGCACAGCACTGCATCCATACAAAGAAGACACAATAAACACAATATGCTACGGGAATGCTGGTTGCAGGGTGGGCAGGGGTGGCCGGGACCTGGGGAAGGTGATATCCTGGGACCAGAGGGCACGGCAAGGGGATGAGAAGACCACCATAAGAAACTTGCATAGCCTCTAGGAGGAGTATAAATTGGTACAGCCATTCTGGAAAGTTCCTTGGAATTACCTAAAAAATCCAAGAGACACATACTGTAAAACTGGGCGGGGCACCTGTTCTCCCAGGTGTAGACCCTAGAGAAATCCCTGCCCCTGTGCACCTGGGGACTGGATGGGACACACCTACAAGCTTTATGACAGCAGAGGATCAGAAGCTACCCAAACGTGCACCAAGTATAGAACAGATGGACACGTGGTGGTCCAGGCACGAGACATGCCTGGACACAATGGAATATTACACAGCAGTGAAATGAATGAACTGAAGGTACATGTGACAACGTGGATGAAACCCCAACACATAATGCAGAATGAAAGGGCATAACGCAGAGGACTTTGTATAGTGTGAGTCAATGCATAAAGTCTTAAAATGGGCAAAACCAAACAATATGGTGTTTAGAGAAATAGATTTTTTTTTTTTTAACGATTTTATTTATTTATTTGAGAGAGAGAGAGTGTGTGTGTGCACAGAGGGAGAGTGAAAGGGAGAAACAGGTTCCCCACTGAGCAGGGAGCCCCATGCGGGACTTGATCCCAGAACCCTGGGATCATGACCTAAGCCGAAGGCAGATGCTTAACGACTGAGCCACCCAAGTACCCCATAGATTTGGTTTTTATAGAAAGCAAGGAAATAATTAATGATTAAATTCTGGAGACAGGCATCTCACAGGTAAGGACAAAGTGGGAGGCCACTTGGAGGGAGTACCAAGAACCTTCAACACACTGGCCATTTCCCATTTGTTACGCTGGGTGGGGAACCCTCGGGTGTTCATTTTTATCCTTACACTTTGAACTATATTCGTAGGTTTCAGATTTGTTTGCATGATGAATTTTGCAGTCACTAAAATCTTTTCTTTTTTTATTCTCTAAGATAATAAACATGGTCATCCAGGGGGAACTGGTGGGTAGCTGGAGCCTTCTATGCTTCCTCTTTTCAGAGCCAGAAAGTGTTTCATGCTCTGGGGTTGTGATGGTTAATTTTGTGTGTCAACTTGACTGGGTCATGGGGTCCCCTGGCATTTGTCAAATACTATTCTGGGTGTCTCTGTAAAGGTGTTTCTGGATGAGATTAACATTTCAATTGGTAGACTGAGTAAAGCAGGTGGTGGCTCTTCCTAAAGTGGGTGGGCCTCATCTAATCAGTTGAAGACATAGATACAACAAAAGGGCTGAGTAGGAGGAATTTCTCTTGCCTGACCGCCTTTGAGCTGGGACTTCAGCTTTCCCCTGCCTTTGAATTCAAACTGAAACACTGGTTCTTCCTGGGTCTTGAGCTTGCTTGCCTTCGTACTGAAACTAAACCCATCGGCTCTCCTGAGTCTCGGGGTTGCTGACTCACCCTGCAGATCTTGAGACCTGCCAGCCTCCATAATGACATGAGCCAATTCCTTAGAGTAAATCTCTTTTTATCTATATCTATCTATCACCAATCTATCATCTTTCTTACTGTTTCTGTTTTCTCTGGAGAACTGACTAATACAGGGGTCAAAAGATATCTCGGGGCCAATATCCAGGAAGGATCACAAACAGGAATCCAGGAAGGTGGGGGGTATGGCTGCAAAGTGAAATGTCTGCACACCCCTTCCTCTGGGCACATGAACCCCTGGAAGGGCTGGGTCAGGGCGTGCTCATCAAGTCTAGATGTGGAACACAGTATATGCAAGCAGACGTCTGTGTAAAGGAGAGACAGACAATCAGTGGAAACCAGGGGAATTAATGCAGCATGTATGTACGCACAAAGGAATGAATGAATGTCTTAAAGCGAAGTTTCATTTCGTTCACAGCTTTGGTATGCTAGACAGACCCAGAGTGGGATCCTACCCCTGCAGTTCAGCTAGGCAAAGCTTCCAAGGTGGATCTATTTGGTTTTCTTTTTCCTATTACAGTTTTTTTTTATTCTTATGTTAATCCCCATACATTACATCATTAGTTTTAGATGAAGTGTTCCATGATTCATTGTTTGTGCATAACACCCAGTGCTCCATGCAGAACGTGCCCTCCTCAATACCCACCACCAGGCTAACCCATCCTCCCACCCCCCTCCCCTCCAGAACCCTGTTTGTTGTTCAGAGTCCATCGTCTCTCATGGTTCGTCTACCCCTCCGATTTCCCCCGCTTCATTCTTCCCCTCCCGCTACCTTCTTCTTTTTTTTTTCTTAACATAGATTGCATTATTTGTTTCAGAGGTACAGATCTGAGATTCAACAGTCTTGCACAATTCACAGCGCTTACCAGAGCACATACCCTCCCCAGTGTCTATCACCCAGCCGCCCCATCCCTCCCACCCCAGCCCCCACTCCAGCAACCCTCAGTTTGTTTCCTGAGATTAAGAATTCCTCATATCAGTGAGGTCATATGATCCATGTCTTTCTCTGATTGACTTATTTCGCTCAGCATAACACCCTCCAGTTCCATCCATGTCGTTGCAAATGGCAAGATCTCATTCCTTTTGATGGCTATATAATATTCCATTGTATATATATACCACATCTTCTTTATCCATTCATCTGTCGATGGACATCTTGGCTCTTTCCACAGTTTGGCTATTGTGGACATTGCTGCTATAAACATCGGGGTGCACGTGGCCCTTCGGATCCCTACTTTTGTATCTTTGGGGTAAATACCCAGTAGTGCAATTGCTGGATCATATGGTAGCTCTATTCCTATTACAGTTTTTAATGATACGTAACACACACACAGAAAAGTGCACAGACCTCAAATGTACAGCTTGACCAATGTTCACATCTATTTAGCCAGCATCAAGATCAAGAAACAGAACCTTCCAGTACCCCAGGAGGCCCCCGTGGCACCCGATTTCATTTACTATCCTCTCTCCCTTCTCCCCACCCAGTGGCCCCAGAACCATTATCCTGACTTCTACACCTGAGGTCAGTTTCACATGTTTGTAAATTTTATACAAATAGAATCATACAGCATTGTCCTCTTCTGAGTCTGTTTTTTCCCCCCTCAGTGTTCTGCGGGTGAAATTCACCCGTGGTCTATGTAGCTGCAGCTCCTTCATTCTTATTGAGAACAGTATCCCATAAACAGACTCACAATTTAGGTCTCTATCTACTGCTGATGGACATTGGGGTTGCTTCCAGTTTGAAGCCATTATTCTGCTCTGAACATTCTTGCACGTGTCTGTTGGCACACCTAAGTTTGCACTCTCCCCTATGTTTTAAACATATAAAATTTTTCAACATACAGCAAAAAAAAAAAAAAAAAAAAATTACGGTGAGCATCCATACACACACCATCTACATTCCACCATTAACACGTTACTCTACTTGCTTTATCAAATATCTATCCCTGTGTCTACCCATCCATCTCCTTTCTTGGGTGTATTTCAAAGTAAATTGCAAATATTATTACACTCCCCCTTAAATACTATCGCATGCATATATTAACCAGAGTTCAGTATTTGTTTGCAATTTTTTCTTTTGACATAAAACTTCTATGTGTGCAATTTCCTATCGACTACCTACACCCAGGAGGGGAACTGCTGAGGCGCAGGGGTGCATGCATACCAGTTTATTAGACAGTGCTAAATAGTTTCTCAAAGGGGTTGTATCGGCTTGCTTGTTTGTGAATGCTAGAAAGATTGCCTCTTTTCCTCTGGTGATTCCACGGTGCAGCCTCTGCAGGAGGTCATGAGAAAATACAAGTACTTCCAAATCCACTGCTTTCTCTGCTCTGGACAGACCTTATCCAAGTACTACTTATCTCTTGGTGGGTTTCTTGCTTCTTGTAGTCTCTTTAGCTAGACTTCGAGCCTCGAGAGGGCAAGCTGCTGAACGTCGACCTCCCAGCACGGTGCCTGGCACGGGACAGGCGCTGGGAGAAGGGTGTGGAATGAATGAGTGGGTGCTGCGCAGGGACCTGGCATCTCCCTGTCTCTGCAGGGCAGTGAACGGATAGCCACGGTTGGTCTAAAGAGACGCAGTTAGTGCTGCCCTTAAAACCAAAGACCCATCATCACAGTCACTCAAGCAAAACCAAGTGCCTGTCACAGAGGCAGCTTGGTTTCAAGGCTTAATTTAGCCTCTTCCCTGAGTTAACCCGAGATAGCTCTGACTCAGGAGGAAGTGGAGGAGAATAATCAGGTTGACTGTGTTTACTTTCTGAGGACTCTGCAGCAGACCAAGGGCCTGGGAGAGGCCTTCTCCGCCCCAAGAAAGTTCTACTCCTAAGCCTGTTTCTACAGTGCTTGACTCATCAGCCTCAAGTTCCCTGGAGGAACCATGTCGGCCACGTAGCTGGATGGCCAAGGGAGCTACCAAGGGATTCCTAGGAGAGAAGAGGTTGGAACATTCTTTTCTTTGGAAGAAGTTGTCTGGCCAGAGTGTGAGGATAGAAAGCGGGAGATTAGCTTGGAAGCCATAGGAGTAATTGACTTGGGAGGGGAAG